CCCCGAGCTCGGGACCCGCGTGGGGAGAATGCAGCAAAGATCCCTCCCGGCTCCGTGCTGGATCCAGGGATGCACCTGCAGGGAGCTGCCGGTGCCCCTGCTCCGGGCTCTGCGTCCACTCCGGAGCATGGGAAAAGGCCAAAGCTCTGTGGCTGGAGGCAGGGAGGGATGTTGGAGCAACCCCTATTGTGGCAGTGCTCCCAGGACCAGCTTTTCCTTGGAAAAAACAGCCTTTGCTGCGTGTTCGCCCTGGGAGGTTGCAGCGTTGCCTCCCTCGGGGTGATGCTCTCCTGACCCGAGCGCTGGCCGGTCCTCGAGGCTCTCCCTGTCTCTGGGGCTGGGTGTAAAACTAAACGATCAACCCAGGGTTCACCCCCCTGCTCCGTCGTGTTCTGGCAGCCCCTTCCCAGAGCATCTGCTCCCCGGTGTCCCCTGCCAGGCTGCGCCGCAGGTGCCTCCTGGTGCCTTCCCTGCCGCTGAGGTGGAGCTCGATGGCTCGGGGGGTCTCATGTGGCCGCAGGGACCAGCTCCCCTCTCGCTCTGTCTCCACAGATTGCCTGGGGACGCCCATCGTGTACTCGCCCGTCAAGGCAGACCTAGCTGGGAATATCAAGGTAGGAAAGGGCACCGGAGCTGTGCTCCCTCTAGCGCACGTTCGGCATCAGGAGCGCCCAGGAGGGATCAACTCCTCCCAGCCTGAGGTTCTTTGGGAAGGGAGAGACAACGTCCCGGGGTGTTTGAAAGGCTCCTTCCCCGCAGGGCTCCTGCAGGGGCTGCCCCTGTCCCCCGCAGGTTTAATAGTGAGGTTTGTGAGCGAGGCCACCAGCCAGCTGGGACGCTCACGGCGCGCAGGGTGGCACATGTGGCCCCAGGAGAGCTGGCTCCAGGGGGAACTTCCCCTCTTCTCCTCCCCTGGAGCCTCCGAGCCTGAGGGCTCCTCGCTGCGGTCGTTTCAGAAAATCCGAGCGGTTTATGAAACCAACCCCGCCAAGTTCAAAACGCTGCAGAACATCCTCGAGGTGGAGAAGGAGATGCACGGCTCGGCGTGGCCGAAGACGGGGGCAACGCTGGCGCTGATGTGGTTGAAAAGGTGACTCACGGCGTCGGAGGCTGTGCCAGGCTCCGGGGTGTGTCCCGGTGCTCGCGGAGCGACCCGAGTGCCAACGGGAGGATCTGCTGCTGCCTTGGCTCTGGGCTAGCCAAGAAAAGCTGGCGTGTGCCCGGTCTCCTGAGGACTGCTTGTGTCCAAAGGGTGTTTGCCGGTCTTGGGTCCAGCGGGTCCCCCCGGGCTGGGTTTGAAGGAGGCAGCAAGGGCAGCCGCGTGCCCAGGCTGCAGCCTGGCATGCGCCGAGCTCCCTGCGTGGGCTGGGCCTCAGCTCTGCTCGCCCCGGGGTGCAGCGATGCTCGAGGACTTGGCCTTGGCTGATGTTCTCCTGCCTCTTCAGGGGAACTCGGATTCACATCCCGCTGCCTCCCTGCCGGCCTTGCGGCTTTGTGCCGCTCCGTAAACCTCCTCCGAGCGGGACACAGCCTGAGCCGCGGGTTTCCGCCGCGCCTGGGCCACGCAGGGCTCGTGGCAGCGTGTTGGGTGATGCCACGTCCAAGGTGGCATCGCAAACAGGCGGCCCGTCCGCATCCGCACGTGCCCATCCGTCCGCCTGACAGCTCTGCTTTCCTCACAGGGGCCTGAAGTTCATGCTCGTTTTGCTGCAGAGCATCTCTGACGGCGAGAGGGATGAGGAGCACCCAAACCTCATCAGAGTGAACGCCCTGAAAGCCTACGAGATCGCTCTGAAGAAGTACCACGGCTGGATGCTGCAGAAGCTCTTCACGGTGAGCGCGGCGCGCGCGGCGGGAGCCCCGAGCACCCACAGCTCCTTCCTTACCGCCCTTCCCCTGTTTTGTAGGGCTCGGTCTATGCTCTTCCATACAAATCGGATTTGCTTAAGGCTTTAGAGAAAGGTAAGGAAGTGAAGGAGGAGGAGACCATAGAGAAGATCCGGCAGTTTCTCACACGAGTCGGCCCCATCCTGGATGCGATTTATGAGATGTACACGAAAATGAATGCAGAGCTGAGCTACAAGGCCTAGCGCCTGCACGGGACTCGCACGGCCGAGAGCACGGTGCGGCCATTACTACCTATGTCTTAATCACTGTGACAGCTCAGGCTGCTGCTGCTTGTCAGATGCCTGATTCTGGTCTGGATCTGCAGCGGATACCCTACTTTTTTAAAAAATAATAATTTTCTATGAATAATACAGCAATAAAACAACGGTATCCCGAGTTGTCTTAGAAGGAAAAATCAGTGTTTCTAGTCCTTAGCGGAGGGTTTATTTGTGATACTCCGTGCTCTCTGGCACAGCTCAGGCTGCTGCTGCTTGTCAGATGCCTGATTCTGGTCTGGATCTGCAGCGGATACCCTACTTTTTTAAAAAATAATAATTTTCTATGAATAATACAGCAATAAAACAACGGTATCCCGAGTTGTCTTAGAAGGAAAAATCAGTGTTTCTAGTCCTTAGCGGAGGGTTTATTTGTGATACTCCGTGCTCTCTGGCCTGGCTCTGCTCCGTGCCCCGGCGCGGTGGT